CTCCTCCTCCTCCTCCCGCCTCCTCCTCCTCCTCCTCCTCCTCCTCCTCCTACTCCTCCTCCTCCTTCTCCTCCTCATGCTCCTCATGCTTCTCCTCCTCCTCCTACTCCTCCTCCTCCTCCTCCTCCTCCTCCTTCTCCTCCTCCCCTCGATTTTTAGCGCTTAGGGATGGTGAGAGGACCTGAGGGCACGCCCACTCCGTGCCCAGGGGCGCGGTGGCGGGTTGTTTTTGCTCATGGCAGCGATGCACATTTACTTGCGATGATGAGATGGCGATGGCGATCCAGATGACGATGGTGATGGTGATGGGCGCAGGGGGGGTGGTGATTTTTTTTTGCGGGCAACGCGCCGCGGGGGAGCGTCATTCAGTGACGCCGTGGACGAGCCGGCCGCCATTCCACTCGTTGACGGCGTCGTCCACGGAAACGCCCTGAGAGCACCGCGCGCTGACGTAGTGGGGCAGCGACACGGACCATGGAGCGTCGTCTTTGTTGACGCGCTTTCGCTTGACAACAAGCGCTTTGGGCGCAGGACAATGCTGCCTCCTCCCGAGCGCTTCAGAGAAGGCCGTCGCGAAATCGTGCCCCGGCAGCGCTCTTCCGTAATTGTGGCGCATGCAATCTAAAGCGCGGGGGGGCGGATCGTGCATTCGTGGCTTCCGCGCCCAATCGCGCAAATACTCTGCGCACCCAGCGCGCGCCGGCATGTACTGCTCGATTTTCCCGCAAAGTTTGTCGATCTTCGACGTCGGGATATCTGTCCTGCCTTCCCACGTGAGGGGGCCAGTGTGCGGGCGAAGCATAGGAGGACGCCCCAGCTTGGAGCATGAGCACTGGGGGCTGGGAGCAGCAACCGTCGCTCATGTACTCCTTGCACAAGAGCATGACGTCATTCGGCCCGCTGCCACTGGCTGGCGCAACATCTCTGATAACAGCGATGGGGATGTCTTTTCGCCTCATGAAGCACATCCAATGCACCGACATTATGCCGACCAGCCCATTGTGTGGGTCGACCCCATCGAGCGGCCCCAGCCATTGCTTCCAATCGCGCACGGCGTCGAGCATCCCAGACCGCACGGGGATGTCCTTCATCGTGCGGGTGACGCGTGCGTCCATGGCCATTTGAACCCTCTCCACCATCTGACGCGGATTGTCCCAATTGCCCATCTTGCGGATTGCCGTAGACATCACGGAGAACATGAAATCGATGTCCTCGTGCGTGTGCCCCACTTGCAAATGCGATGTCGTAACTGATCGGAAAATGCTGCGGTCGACGAGCATTGACGCAAATTTGGCCACGTGGACATTTTTGTTTTCCCCGCTACAGTTATCCATTTGCAACCACAAGTGGCATGGGAATGGGGTGCCACTGGCTGCCCCGCTCTGCCAGTCCGAGAGGCAACGGTCCAGCGCGCGCATGAGCACTTCGATTGTAAGGTTGCAATTATGCGGCATGTCCTCCTCGACAAAATTAAAGGACAACTCCCGCCCATGCGTCCAGCAACCCTCTACCTTCATTTTTGGTCGTTCCACGCCGTCCAGGGCTTTGGGCGTTTCAATCGATTTTAGAACCCTGAATTTCGCTTGGTCAGCACCATCAATAATGACGCATAGCCACTTTGAGCCTTCCTGCGCGGCGACTGCTTTCAATCTCCAGTACGCCATTCTGTCCCGCCACTGCCGCTCAAGATGGTCGCAAAGCGCTTTGGACTTCACCAATTTGTCCGCGTGCGACGCTGCCTGGGCCATCTCCGCCTTCAGTTGAGAGCACGTATTGCACGCGGAGTGCTTTCCATACTTGGAAAATCTCAAAACCTTTTCGAAGCATTCTTTCCATGCCCGCTTCAACGTGCTATCCGCCACCGTGCCCCCCGGCACGTTGATGCGTGCTAGAATGCCAAGTGCTGTCTGGCAGGGTTTCTGGAATCTTCTAAGGGGCCCCCCCCTCTCCCGGCCGCGCCCAACCGGGTGCATCACCCCCTCTTCCCGAGGCGCTGTCGGCGCCAAGACGCGTCCCTGGCGCTCTCCAAGGCGTCCCAAATGCCCAAGATGGCCTCCAAGACGGGCCTGGGAGGCCACCAAAGCCGCCAAGATGGCCCAAGATGCGTCCCAGACGGCCCGAGAGGCCCCAAAGAAGCCCCAAGAGCGCTCCATGAGGACCCCCAAGAGGGCACAAAGAGGCAAACATCATTGATTTTCATCGTGTTTTCGATTTTTTTTCGTGTTATCGCCTTTCTGAGCTTCCGACGCTCCAAGGCGACCCCCGGGGCCCCCAATATCGCCCCAAGACAACCCAAGAGGCCCCCAAGAGGGTCCCAAGACGGCCCAAGAGGGCTTCAAAACGGCTCAAGAGGCGCCCAAGACAGCCCAAGAGAGCCCCAAGACGGCCCCAAAAGGGGCCGAAGAGGGGGACCACGAACCGAAAATTCGAGCCTTCCGCCCGAAGAGGCCCCCAGGAGGCCCCAAGAGGCCTCCAAGAAGCTCCAAGAGGCTCCCAAGAGGCCCCTAAGAGGCCCCCAAGAGGTCCCCAGACGGCCCCAAGAGGCCTTCAAGAAGCCCCAGGCTTCAAAAATATCTCCAACAGGCCCCCAAAAGGCATCCCACGATATCCCCGCGATCATCATCATCATCATGATCATCACCATCATCATCATAATCATCATCATCGTCATCGTCATCGTCATCACCGCCGTCATCATCATCATCATCGTCGTCATCATCATCACCATCACCATCGTCACCATCCTCGTCGTCATCATCACAATCATCATCGTCATCATCGTCATCATCATAATCGCCATCATCATCACCACCACCACCATCGTCATCATCATGTTCTTCATCATCATCATCGTCATCATCGTCGCCGTCATCACCATCATCATCATCCTCCTCATCATCATCATCATCATCGTCGTTATCATGCTGTTCATCCCTCGCGAGCACGGCCTCCGGTGCAACCTCGAACGAGAGGCGCCGAGCATGCTGACTGGCACGGTGGCGGGACTTGCCGCAGGCAGCTGGATATCTCCCTTGCGGGCGTTTGAACCCTTGCTCCTGCGTGGACGCGAGGTACAGCCACCATATGTCCTTTCGGCTGCCGGGGGGCTAACGACGCGCGGGGCAGTCTTCCGACGGCTCGATGAGGAACCGCATATCGCCTTTTTGGATCATGCGTGGGTTCGGCGGCAAATGGGTGCCACTGGCTGCCCGGAAAGCCGCCACTTGATTCCGATTCTCTTCAGAGACCGGCTCCGTCGGATTGGCGGGAATGATGGCGTCGGCGTCTGGCATTGCTTCCGCGTGCGAAGTGTAAATTTGCCATAAGTGGGTGTACAGCGATGCGTACGCCAGGGGGGCTCTCCCCCTCGGGTCGCCGCGCGCCCTCTTCCCGAAACGGGCGTCGGTTTCACCGCGCAACGCTCTGCTTCGCCTTCTCCAACCTATTGAAAGCAGAGCCCGTTGCGCCCGTTTGCACACTCGCACGGGCCCAACGTGCAAGGCGGCGTCAACGGGCCTGCAGATCCAAGAGAGCAGCTGGTCCTTGTGGCATTTGGTCGTGTTCTCCAATGGATACAACGCCCCAGCTATCGCATTGATGGCTTGCCCCGCCGCGCTCTTGCAGCCCATTCGGCAGCCAGGAAAGCAAGGCTTGGGGATCTGCGCAACACCTTAGCGGGCCCCGTTTCCGCGCCAGCCGGCCGCCCGTCCGTCCGACCGGCCAGCCGCCCGACCGCCGACCGGCCAGCCGCGCGCCAGCCGAAACCGAAACGACAGCCGAAACTCGAATGGAAGAAAACTAAGCCCCAGACGTGCCACGACGTTTTCTCTGACCTCCTGATACGATTTTTGCGCAACCTTGCCACGGTCGGCCGCGACGCTGCGAAGAAATGCAGGCGGGGGAAGGGCGCCCCCGGGGGTGCAAACTCCGACCTGGGTCGCCAATGGCAAGGGCTTCAATTCTTGCTCCACGTCTGAGCTGCTGGTGGTGCTGCTGCTGCTGCCACTGGCTGGCGCATTGCGCTCGTTATTACCATCATCGGGCTGCGCTTGTGGACGCCCGTGGCAAGAGGTTGGCTCGCTGAGCTGGGTGACAACGGTGTGTGCGCCTGACGCGCTGTCGCAGTCTGCAGCTGCCGCTGGCTGGCTTTCAGGGCCCGTGCGCGCTGTCTCAGGCTCAGAAAGCTCCGGGTCGACCACCTGACGCGCAGTTGTTTTTCCCGCGACGACGGCTGTAGCTGCCGCGGGCTGGCTGCTCGCCGTGCCTACAGTGCGCGGTTCGCTATCTGCTGCGGCGACTGCTGGCCCGCGCGGGGCGCTGCTGCACGCCGTGGGCACGGTAGCGTTGCTACTAGCTACCATTGATGTCTTGTCGCGGGGTTCCCCAGCGTCGCCGAGGATTTGAACCGAAATTTGAATTCGAGCGACGAAGAAGGGGAGGGAGGAGGACAAGGACGAGGAAGAGGATGGGAGGGGGAGGATAAAGGAGGAGAGAGGAAGAAGAGAAGGAGAGGGGAGAAGGATAGGAAGGGATGCAAGAAGAGGACGCAAGAAGAGGGCGAGGACGACGATACGATGACGAGGATGACGAACGAATCGGAGGATGAAAATGATAATGACGGTCGGACACGACGATGGGATGAAGACTGTACGATGTGGCGATGACGGGACCCAGTTAGAAAGGCCCGGGTCCCACTTAGAATGAGCCCTGCTTCTTGCTGGGCCTCGGGACCGTCAAACAACCACTCAGGGTGAAAAGCCGGTCCCGGGGAAGGGGTCCAGACCTCTGCAGGGGTCGACGTGGTGAAAACATCGCGACGTCGGGGGTCTGGGACTGGAAGCATCGACGTGGCATCGGCGATGCATCGCCTGCAGGTCGGCGACAAGCCTCCGATAGCGAATCCGCGCGGGGTGGGCTGTCGGCGGGCCCCTCTCAGCGACGAGTGGGCGATCTTGCGGGTCGATGCGTCCTCTCCGGAACCAGCCCCCCCCGAGCGTTGC